GGATGGCCACATCAAGGGCCGCTTCGATGAGTAGCGCTTGTAGTTTCATGTCTTGTTCTCTTTGCAATGGATTTTGTCCGAGACAATGTTGTTGTCATGCATGTGTTATTGTGACATGTGGTGATGGATTTGAACTACTTGTTGAATGATGTGGAATCTCATCGAATAATGGATGGAATTATCGTGACATGTGGTGAACGGATGTGATTCATGTGGTATGTGTGATGGGTTGTGACATATAAGGTGCTGGATGTGGTATATATGTGATGGATGTGATATATATGCCATATGTTGTGTTTGCAGTGATCGAAAGCAAAAAACAAAAAAACAAAAATTTTTGGTCACTTTGCCGAGTGTAACACTTGGCAAAGAGCCTTTGCTGAGTGCCTTTTGCCCTGGCACTCGGCAAAGCTGCCAAAAAAATGCGCTACCAGGTCTCTTTGCCGAGTGCCAGACAAAGAATTTTCCAAAAAACAAAATTCTTTGCCGAGTGCCGTCTCAGCTAGGCACTCGGCAAAGGATTTTTTTTAAAAAAAAATCTTTGCCGAGTGGCAGGTCAGGAAGGCACTCGGCAAAGGATTTTTCAAAAAAAAAATTATTTGCCGAGTGCCGGGTCAGGAAGGCACTCGGCAAAGGATTTTTCAAAAAAAAAGGGAAAAGCTTTGCCGAGTGCCTTCCTGACCCGGCACTCGGCAAAGACGCCGTCAACGGCTGACGGCCAATTTTCTTTGCCGAGTGTCGTTGGCACTCGGCAAATCCTTTGCCGAGCACCCGACAAACGGCACTCGGCAAAGAACCCTTCGCCGGATGCGGCTTTGCCGTTTGCTCTTTGCCGAGTGTGGCACTCGGCAAAGCCTTTGCCGAGTGCAATAGGGCCCAGGCACTCGGCAAAGAGCGCGTCTCCAGTAGTGAGCTGTTTTGCCAAATAGTTCACGAAAATAGCTCTAGCTCCACTGATAAAGCTACTCATGGAGCTAAAGCCAAAAACAATGACTTCACTAGTGAAGTGGAGATGTGCCGGGCATAAATCTTTTACCAAAGACATTTTTTTGCACAAGTAAACTGTCTATGGAAACAGAATAGAGACTAGTGCTTTAAGACGGGAATTAGAGCAAGACTAGTGCTCTAATCCAACCATGGTATTTCATTAGAAGTCTATAACTAACCCTACAAAATGGTAGAGAAGACAATAATACGCATAAGGCTAACGACTCATTGACATGTTAGTGATATCTCCACTATGCATGCCAAGGTCCCATTGGGATATCTAGTTCTTAGAATTTTTTTTTTTTTTTTGGTCAAGCATTGTCTCACGGAATCCACTTTTTGTTATCAACGAGGAGGAATGCCTCATATGCATAGTAGCTAGCTTAAAAATATTTACAGTAGAAGTAATATCGTTGATATAAATGACTGTGGTAATCACGCCAATTCCTCGTGAAGGTGAGGTAGACAGGGATTTAATTGGAAAAGAGAGAGAGAGGCAGGAGGAAACCATGGGTGGTAGAAGACAAAAGAGGAGAAGAAAGCCAATACACAAAGATTGGTTGGGAGAAAGAAAAGCGATGACATATGACCAGACAACACATCATGTCATTATTTATATATGGCCTATTCGTGCGTCCGCCACTCCGCGTGTGTGAGAGAAAGAATGAGTATATGGTGGAAAGCGCTGAGTTGTAACCACAAAACATCTTGCATACATATATACATAGGTTGGTATTAACGTTTAACTTGTTTGGATTGCCAAATATGTCAAGCTTTACCTTAACCAAAATTATAAGATTGGCACGAGAAGCTTTAGTTGAGATGGTGGGTCGAGCGCTAGAAGAAACAATATGACAAGCTAACCATCGGAGCTTAGAAGCCATTTTGTGCTATATGATACTGTCGGAAGTATCGACTCTGACAATGAAGATCAGCGTATCACGCACACACAAGGATAGCACACGGGACACAGATTTATACTGGTTCAGGTACGAAGTACCCTAAGTTAGATGAGAGTAGATATCTTTGGCCCCGTTCGCGTGCCCTTAAACCCAACTTGATCCGCTTATTTTTTTCATCCGGAACAGTGTTTTCTCTCACAAATTCTTCCAGCATTCCTCCAAACCATCCAGATTCCTCCAGAATTCAGACAAGCGAACAGGCCCTTTATCTCACATGCTCGAGTTTACAGGGACGTTGATGGCTAATTGCCTGGATGGTCTTAGCATACCGATAGGGGGCTCCTCACCCCTCCTTATATAATTCAGGCGGTGAGGTTATAGATAGAGTCCCGGTCAGTTTACACGTTAGTTTTTTAGTTCGTTACAAGAAAAATCTACTAGATATAGTTGGTTTCTAAGTAGGTCTTGGTATGCATTGCCTTCCAAGTAGATGAGGTACTATATCTGGTTTGGGCTTCTCGTGTAGCCTATTTGGTGTACCCCGTCTCATTTGGGTTGTTGTCCATGCGGTGGGATACCCTGGGTACATATCACCAATAGATATTCTCTTCGTTCTATTTTGAATTTTCTAGATATTGCTATTGCTCTAACTATGTATCTAAACATAATATATCTACGTACATAGTAAAAGTTATATATTTAAAAACGACAAAATATTTTATAATTTAGAATTTAGGGATTTTTTTTCTTAAGTGTCTATTTGGATACACATGTCTATTTAGTCTCCGTTTAGCACAACTCAGGTTCAGTGAAGGTGTTTTTTTGGGAAAACAGTTTCATGAGCAGCTTTTTTTTTGGTAAAACTGAGCTGTTTTAAAAAAATTGTTTGACAAAACAGCTTCACCAACAACTTCATGCATGGCCGAGAGGAGGAAACGAGGGAGAGAACTATGGAAAACTACTTTTTCAGTTTCACCTTCCGTCATTCCTCTATGAGCATAAATAATGAGCTTTACCACATAAGTTGTTTTGAAAAAAAAAAGATGTTTGAAAAAAAAAATAGTTCACAACAGCTTAGTAAAACTGTGTCAAACAAGCCCTTACTAGCTGGGACTAAAAATTAGCTCAAATTAGCTGTATTTACCTAGCTAGTTGGCTAACAATTAACTAAAGACTAGCTAGGGACAACTAGCTCATAGGTTAGCGAGTAAAGTGCACCAGCGGTCCCTAAACTTGTACCGCTATGTCATCCCGGTCCCTAAACTTACAAATCGACCGTTTAGGTCCTCAAACTTGTTCATCTGTGTCATCTCGGTCCCTAAACTTGTTCGACTGTGTCATCCCGGTCCCTACACTTGCAAATCGATCGTTTAGATCCTCAAACTTGTTCAGTTGTATCATTCCGGTCCCTAAACTTGGTTTTGAGTCTCGTATGGGTTAAAACAGGGTGATCTAAATACTTTATATCAAAAAATAATTCATAACGTTTACATATGAACTCGAATGAAGACAAACTTTATATCAAAATTGAAGCCCTCGACGCGATCTACAACTTTGTAGTTGAAAAGTTTTTGAATTAAAACTGTTTAGGGTCCCAAAATATTATTGTATGTTTATAGATTTTGAAATTCGAAATTTAAAATTAAATTTTGGGACAATAAATCACTTCAAACAAAAAACTTTTCAACTACAAAGTTGTAGATCGTATTGAGAACTATAACTTTCATATATACCATATCAACATCCAAGATTGTTTGATAATTTTAAATTTCAAATTTCAAAATCTTGGAATTTGAAATTTGAAATTTAAAATTAACAAACAATATTGGATATTGATATGGTCTATATAAAAGTTATAGTTCTCAATACGATCTACAACTTTGTAGTTAAAAAGTTTTTTGTTTGAAGTAATTTATTGTCCCAAAATTTAATTTTAAATTTCGAATTTCAAAATCTATAAATATATAATAATATTTTGGGACCCTAAACAGTTTTAATTCAAAAACTTTTCAACTACAAAGTCGTAGATCGCGTCGAGGGCTTCAATTTTGATATAAAGTTTGTCTTCATTCGAGTTTATATGTAAACGCTATGAATTATTTTTTGATATAAAATATTTAGATCACCATGTTTTGACCCAGATGAGACTCAAAACCAAGTTTAGGGACCAGGATGACACAACTGAACAAGTTTGACGACCTAAGTGGTCGATTTGCAAGTTTAGGGACCGGGATGACACAACCGAACAAGTTTGGGGACCCAGATGACACAGATGAACAAGCTTGAGGACCTAAACGGTCGATTTGCGAGTTTAGGGACCGGGATGACACCGCGGTACAAGTTTAAGGACCGCCGGTGCACTTTACTCTAGGTTAGCCCTCCTGATTGATAAGCTACGACTAATACTAACTAGTTTTCATCTAGTTAACAATTAGCCCTCACATCAAAACGGGCCACAGAATGATGCCTCTCACCTTATCATCGTCCCATTGTACTCTCAGCCTGTTCGCTGGTTAGTTTCTGGGTTGATAAGCTCAACTGGTGCTGATTTATTATGAGAGAAAAATATTATACCATAGCTGATAAGTCCGGGCTGAAACCAACGAGCGAACAGGCTGTCTATTTTCATCAAAATTTCGAAAGGATGCTTATTTTGTCTTTTTCAAATTTTAATAAAAATACTCCTTTGAGCCACGTCGGTCCTGTCAGCATCAAATCTCCACACAGCCACCGACACTTGGAGGTCCAGTTCACTGCCAATCCGGACCCACATCTAACCGGTCCCGTCAACCAGCGAACCGGCGCAAGTATCTGCCCACCCGCAGGCGCGGCGCCCCTCCCCCGCGTCCGGCTCCGGCCCTGCCCCCGCGCACACCACTCGTGGGTCGAAGACGCGGGATGACTCCCGAGTCGGACCCGTGCACACACCCGGACAGGCGGACACGGACGGCCCTCCCGGCGAGTGGCGACCCGTTCCTCGGTTCTCGCCGTCCGATTATAAATGCGCCCGCAAATCCCTCCAGCCCCTCCTCCTCCCCCACTCTCTCTCGCTGCGCCTCCTCCCGCCTCCGTCCCCAAATCTGCGCAAGGCCTCCCCTCGCGGCGATCGATATGGTTGGGAGCGTGGGCAACGGGCTGGCGGATCTGGGCGCAGGGGCCGTCTCCATGAACGGGGTGGGGAAGGCGCTGCATCCTGCCGAGGCGGCGGCGGCGGCGGAGACGCTCCCGATGGAGCTGGAGCCGCCGGAGGCCTTAGTTGCCGCGGCGGTGGAGGCGGAGGCGGAGGCGAAGCGGGAGGAGGCTGCCAACGGGAGGAGGGAGATCGTGATGGGGAGGAACGTGCACACCTCCTGTTTCGCCGTGAAGGAGCCCGACGCGGATGACGAGGAAACCGGCGAGCGGGAGGCGACCATGGCCAGCGTCCTCGCGCTCTACCGCCGCTCGCTCGTCGAACGCACCAAGCACCACCTCGGTACGTTGCGCCTTGGACGCTCACGCTCCGGCTCCGTCGATTTCGCTTTCCTCCTCTTGCGCCTCGATCTGGTCCGTGGTGGCCTGATCTCGTGACACACCAGTGCGCCGGACGATTTAGCCGCTTGCAGGTTGCGGCATTCTTAGTGTCGGCTTGTGCCTTGGTATTTTTGGTATTCTACTGGGCCAGAATGCCGTGTTCGTTTCCTTCGTCTTGCATAAATACACTCCCCGGGAGCTGGGGATACATGATGCCGTTTTATTTATTAGTATATGCAGCAGTTTTATGCGCCTATGTCATTTTCAGTGCAAATCTGAATGAACTTCACTTTTGCAAATCTGTACCTAGATCAAGTACGGCTCTATAAAATTAAAATTAAGTGTTAGGCTTTGATGGCCAGCTCTTTTATCTGGTGCGTCTTTACCTTGCCTTCCTTGCCAATTTGTTCCGGGTTATAATATGGAGATTCTGAAATACAGTCTTGTCTTAAATGCATCGTACCGAGCAAGCATGGAAAACATAACCACTGATAAAAAAATTCCAGTCCACTGAATCATGTGCGTGCTGTTTGTCTTTCGTGCCAACAGCATGCTTCAATCCTCTTCTCGTCAGCTTAAATACATATATTATTGGATTCTAATCAACGCAGTAGATCTTATATATGTGGACAGAATTTTCCTCAAATTTATCTCCATCTACACCACGTGTGTTCTGCTGCAATTGTGGGATGGATGTCTGATTATATAATAAAAGATTCCAGCCTTTACTTTGTTTTAAAAGAAAATATTAATAGTGTTGGCATAAGCATAGATCCATATCTCCCAAGCAGCTGAGATTCCTTTTGTTCCAAAACTTTTTTTAGAAAGAACTATTTTTGCCAAAAAAATGAAATGTTTCTGAAGTTTCACTTGCTCTATCTTTCTAAATTCATCCTGCAACTCTAATGAAACTTTACGTTGTAGTGCAAGCACTGAATTGTAATGGAAATGCTAGAAAGTTATCCGCTTGTGTTAGTATAATTGGTTTAAAAAAGAACTAAGCTTTTGGACATAAAAAATTAGAAAATAGAGATAGAAATTCCCTGTTCTAGTCAAGGTTTTTTTTTTAATCCAAGTCTAGTTCTTTACCATAACTCTTTTATTCTATCTGACTATTCTTAGTTTCTTATTACTCCTTCCAATTAGTCTTTGTATACTTATCACATGCATTTATCAGTGCCTCTGCAGTCTTTAGTTTTAGCATATATATTATATATGTAGTCTCAAAAATACTTTCCATAATATTATGGTTTTACTTGGCTAAATAATTTAGTGTTCAAAGATGCATACTTCAAACTGTGTTGTTGGAAATGACACTTGCTTAACCAGATGGAGTAGTTAATAAAGAAGGCAGCATAAGCATATCTGTACTCTGGAGTCTAGTGGGACAAGCCACAGTTATATGGATGTGCCTTTTGTATAATAGAACCAAAAACAGACAGCAATATAATTATGTTAGCTCATGGCGTCTATTGGTTTCATGAAGGTTACCCATACAATCTGGACTTCGATTATGGTGCACTGTCCCAGCTGCAGCACTTCTCCATTAACAACCTTGGCGACCCCTTCATCGAGAGCAACTACGGTGTCCACTCCAGGCAGTTTGAGGTTGGAGTGTTAGATTGGTTCGCTCGCCTCTGGGAGTTAGAAAAGGATGAGTACTGGGGATATATTACTAACTGTGGTACAGAAGGAAATCTGCATGGGATTCTTGTTGGGTAATACTTGAGAAGTCCTTGCTACTTTCACTGCTTATGTGAAATGTCTCTTATGCTCTTAATCTTCTTTATAAACTGTTTTACAGGAGGGAGGTGTTTCCTGATGGAATATTGTATGCTTCTCGCGAGTCCCATTATTCAGTATTCAAAGCAGCAAGAATGTACAGAATGGATTGTGTCAAAGTTGACACCCTTATGTCTGGGGAAATAGATTGTGCTGATTTCCAGAGAAAGTTATTGCAGAACCGAGACAAACCTGCCATCATTAATGTTAACATCGGTGAGTTTTAACTCCCAGACTAATGCCTTGCCTTCACATGTGTTCTGCTTCTAAACAAAATTGCTGTGCAGGAACAACTGTGAAGGGGGCAGTTGATGATCTAGACTTGGTTATCAAAACCCTCGAGGAAAATGGCTTTAAAGATCGGTTTTATATTCATTGTGATGGTGCCCTTTTTGGATTGATGATACCATTTGTTAAAAAGGTGATCTTTTGATTTTCCATGCTGTATGTACTAATTACATTAAGCTGTGCTAGTTACACATCTACTTTGGTAGCTTATTTTTCTGATATATGTATATGTATATGTATCTTCATTAGGCACCTCAAGTCACATTTAAAAAGCCTATTGGGAGTGTCAGCGTCTCTGGGCACAAGTTTGTTGGATGCCCCATGCCATGTGGTGTCCAGATAACAAGATTGGAGCACATAAATGCCCTTTCTAGCAATGTGGAGTATCTGGCTTCAAGGGATGCTACAATCATGGGAAGCAGGAATGGCCATGCTCCTATCTTCCTCTGGTACACCCTCAACAGGAAGGGCTACAGAGGCTTTCAGAAAGAAGTCCAAAAGTGCTTGAGAAACGCACACTACCTAAAAGATCGCCTCAAGGAGGCAGGAGTCGGAGCAATGCTTAACGAGCTCAGCAGCACAGTTGTATTTGAAAGGCCGAAGGATGAAGAATTTGTCCGAAGGTGGCAGCTCGCTTGTGAAGGCAATATAGCTCACGTTGTGGTGATGCCCAGTGTCAACATTGACAAGCTAGACTATTTCCTGAATGAATTAGTGGAGAAACGGGCGACTTGGTACCAGGATGGAATAAGTCAGCCCCCCTGCATTGCCAGAGACGTAGGCGTTGAGAACTGTCTCTGTGGCCTTCACAAGTAGTGTGAGCCTTTTGCAAGGGGGTTCCATTCATGAGTTGAGTTAAAGTGTTATGTTGTACTGTATCCATGCGTTCTGTACGTGATAATGTGTTCCGCAGTGTAGCTTATTTGTTGCCATGAGAATAAAAGTTCTTCAATTAAATTGATGGATGGAAGTTGCATCACCGTTGGCTCATCTGTACTGTGCTCAAACAATTCACTTTGCTTTACCCCTCTGCCATGCTTCTGTTGTCTGTAGAACTAGAGGCAACTCTGCCAAGCTTCTGTTATCTGTAAAACAAGGGGCAACTGGGGCAGCATTAATCACTTATTGATGAGCACTTCAGATGCTGTTGCTGCAACGAAGTGATAAAACTGAACAAACTGAAGCCCTATCCACCTTCCATAGCGATAATACTGGTCTTGCTCTAGTATCAAAAAAATACTGGTCTTGCTCTTCTTTCAGAGATGCATAGCAAGTGAGTTTGAACAAATTTAGCCGCTGACTGTCATCGAATATTGAGGTCTTATGCTTCTATCAATTGGACTAACGTTAGCAGGTACCAAAAAACAATTCATTTTTGTTTTCCACTTTTCACAAATGCGGATTCTAACAGTTGTTTTTTATAAGATAGTGTTTTTTTTATAAGCCAGAGTCAGGTAGCTACAGACTCTCCATTCTAAATTTGAAATCGTTTTAGCTTTGCTCTCAGTCAAAGGCCATGTTCGTTTGAAATTATCAGCCGTGCCATTTCAGCGAAATAATAGTGTTTTTCTCTCACAACAAATCAGCATTAGCATCAACACCGGCCGTTTTCCCAACTAGCCGAACGGACCGAAATTTCACTAACTTTAACTAAGTTTAGAGAAAAATATACAGACATCTATGATATCAGACAAGATTCATTAGATACACCATAAGATATATAGAGCTTTTAAACGGTGCTTGGAAGAACTAGCAATTCCACCCATCCATTTTTATTTTTGGCACAGGGTCAGTGTAGTAATTTAACAATTGGATTTTCTTTTTCTTCCGATACGGTCTCTCCCAGACGCTGGCCGGCCCCGCTCGTGGACACCGCGGCTCGCTCGAGCACGCGCCTGGCCGCGCCCCCACCTTGGGTCGCCGGCAGCCGCGCCCGCCCGCAGCAGCGCCGTGCGCCCAGACCTCGCCCCCGCTCGTGGCCGCCGCAGCTCGCTGGAGCACGTGCCTGGCCGCGCCCTTACCTAGGATCGCCGTCGCCGGTCAGGTCTTGCCGCGCAGAGATATCAGATTACGATTTTCCCCTTTCGCGTTTAGTTAAAGATTTAGAAAAATAAGTTCTGGGCCCACATGATTTTAGTTTCGGTCCAAGGAATTCCAATTCCAGTCTGCAATTTAAGCTTCCTCCCACTCAGTTTCGCTACCTTTCTAACCATCCGATCAAGGGGTATTAATGGTCCATGTTTTCTTCAAGCGTGGTACAAAATCACTATATTTAATAGTGCATTTATTTGATATTGTAGATATTACTATATTCTTTTATAAGCTTTTCGTCAAAACTAAAGAAATTTGATTTAGAACGAAACTAAAATGACTTATAATTTACAACGGATTATATATACTTTTTCATATTCTTTTAGGGTGTGGTGGCAGTAGGGGGTTAGAAGTAGAACTTTCAATGCATAGCAACTCTGGCCTTTCATACTTTCTTGCAGCAGCAAATTCTGATGTCAAATGGGATAACCTGGCTTTACTGGCTACCCTCAGACTTACCGGCCCCGTTCACTTGTCTTAAAATTTGGCTTGTTCGGCTTGTTTTTTCAGCCGGAACAGTGTTTTTCTCTCACAACAATTCAGCCGGAACAATGTTTTTCAGCCAATTTTAGCCAAAGTTCAGACCAGCGAACAGGGCCACTGTATCTAAGTCATGGTTGACTCGCCGCAATGTATCCACAGTGGGATCCTCATATGCCACTGGTTGCAAAAAAAAAAAGGTGAACTTACTTTCTATCTGATAAGACTCGAAGCTCAGGTGCACCAAAGATCATATTCATCACTATCTGGCCTCATTCTTGAAAGCTCAACAAAAGCAGGTGATTCTTTTATATGTATCGGCAAGTAGAATAACTTTTCATGTTCTTTGTTTATTCCACATAGGTTTTAAATTCATATGAAAAATCAGCATGTTCTAGTGTAGAAAAGAGAACTGTATCCCCAATTGCAGGTTTTTATTGAAGGTGGGTTTCACGTATAAATTGCCTGATGTTTTTGCAGTAACCAGGAAAAGAATCTCCAACAGACAATTTTTTTGCTGGAGTATGGAATGCTAGATCAAGTAAAGCGAAGAGTACCGTCTGTGACCGGAAGGTCCCGGGTTCGAGTCGCGGTCTCCTCGCATTGCACATGCGAGGGTAAGGCTTGCCAATGGCACCCTTCCTCAGACCCCGCACAGAGCGGGAGCTCGCTGCACTGGGTACGCCCTTTATGAAATGCTAGATCAAGTAAAGGTCCTTCAATACTTTTGGTTGCTTTTATGCTTTATCTAACTTTCATTTCACCCTACCTTTTAGATCAACTTTTGAGTATGTGGACCATCTTATCCACTTAGTGCGCTTCCATTCTTCTCCATTTGCTACACACTGTTGGCCATGCCAGAATATTGGAAGGATAACCTTTTTAAGTGTACATGTGACATAGATCTGCCACGGCCAGTGCGTATTTTTTTTATTGAGATATTTAAAGGATTAGCTGGATGGCATGCTTATCTGGTTTGCCCTTTTTTAGAACGTGTTAGAAGCTTTGGAATTCAAAAATTACAACATGGGCACACAAATCTGTTGCAAGAGCAAGACTCAAATTTGGGTCGGCGAGGAGGTAAACAGCTCCCCGCAACGTGGACCATTGCCTTGTTGGCTTCAGCATACCTATCTCATCTCATTATCCTAAACATCATTTGGAAAGCGGAGAAAAGTAAGCCATTGGTACAGCAGTGCCTCTGCCTCTTCATTTTCAGATTCTATAAGGCGTCTGTGTTTCTTATTTTCGCTTCCAGAAACCATTGTTCTGTATGAGCTTATGCAAAAACCTGATAAAGCTGGACTCTATGCTAATCCCATGGTCCATGGAGATTTGGCAAAATCCTTGATCTATAACTATAAGGCACCTAGCAGATGAGGTGTAAGGCAGTGAACGAAGTCCAGAATGAATGTTCGTTATCATTTTGCTTGTGAATTTGCCTATTGCTTTCTGGCCATCGGAAGTTATATTATATGTACTTTGTTCTTCAGAGTCTGGATTTTGCGTTGCCCCCGTCCTTTTTTCATCCACATTCTGATTTCTGCATGTGCCTGACTTTCAGCTATCCATGTAGCTATTGAGCCAAAAGCTTAGGCAAAGAGAGAGAGGTGTCCAATTAACCTATACTTCAACACTCCTCCACACATGTGTTCCCTCAGGCCTCAAACATAGAAATAGAAGTCGGCTGTAATTATTTAAATTAATTGCGCCCATCAGAATTCAAGCTTGATAACTCTGGCCCTGATACCCTATTGAATTGCATGTAGTTTAAGTTGGTAGAAAAAAGGCGAGCAGTCCACTTACGGCTAATTCACTTTTATACTTCAACTGTAGACTTCAGTTTTTGCTTGGGCTGCATTCTGTAGTCTGTAGTTAGCACAAAGTAGGAAGAGACCTCAGACCTGAGAAAGATAGGGTCTGAACGACTGAACCCGGGGAACTTACTGGTAAGATCATGACTTACACGTACTTGCCAACAACTTGATCACTGAATCGTCCCAGACGCCCAGTGTGCTTGTGACAGAACATTATTTAGCTTCCTGGATAGTGGAGACAGTCACATATGAAAATGATCCTTTCGTGAGAAACTAAGACAAAAAGAAAACAAGACTCTGAAGCTGCAGTTTAGGAGGATTAGACATTCCAGGAAATGCAACTACTGAGACAGTCACATATGAAAATGATCCTTTCTTGAGATTCAACCCTTCTCTGTTTACCATGATTTATCGTTTTCAGGAAATGCAACTCCTGTTTCAGTTGCGACCGTCTTATGGAATCAAATGAGCGGATCATTCTCAATGTTCTTTTAGCAAAACCACCATTACGCTGCTCTGGATCGTTGACCGATCGACACGGGTAAAGTCTCAGTAAGACGATCATCGTTGGAGCTGACCCAGCGCCCATCGTTGAAAGCAAGCAAAGCTTGTGACGCGCAAGGATCCAGGATCGGAGTTGCGAGAGCTCTGCTTACTGTCCGGCCGCTCGTCCTGGTCCCTTCGAAGTGGAAGGGATCAGAACAAGCCAATCAGCATATGCAAATGCAACGTGGTTTCTGAGTGGTAATTAGTTGCTTTGTCAGCTTCACCATGCATTGTGCCCACATGCTTCATGTCTCAGTATTTTACAGCCTCATGATTGCTCCCGAGGATATGATTCACTGCAAGATGGGTGTGTGTTACTGTCACCTGTCATACTAGTCAAATTCAACTCTCTTGGACCATTGTTTCTCACACCTCCCTTCTTTTTATCAAGTTGAAGGATGTTTCCTATAAGTGATACAAGAAGCTAAGGCACTAGCTAGTGTCACAGACAGAATTGCATTTATCATATTTCTGCTTTGATTTGTTTAGTCAGTATAGTAGTCAAGATGCCAATCAACTACTTGCGAGTTTACGATAATCGTAATCTGGAAAGAAATCAGAATTTTGGAAGTCAAACTCACCAGTTTCCTATCATCATATCCCTATGCTTTCCCTTAGGCAGACCATGTCCATGAGTTGAGTCAGGCTGGACCAGAGTTTGACCCCAAGTTCAGAAATAATTCAGTTGCGGTGCCATGAACCACACAGTATGGCAGGTAGTAGCAAAGGTCAAAGATACAGCCTCCCCCACATGCCTCATGGCCTGCAAAAGAGAGCAACACTAACAAATAATTCAGTGCCTGATCTCCTCCCTTTTCTAATCCATCTCTTGCTGCATTTGTGTGTGCTAAACCTCTTTATCCTGCTTTACACCCATGATCAGGCAGACAAGATCTGGTGCTATACCAGCGAGTGCCCCTCTGATTCCCGGAAAGCCACCACTGTTAACAACACACTCACGCCCAGCTAGCTTCCTAGTGCTCGGTAACCTCCTGGCCTCTCCATTGGATGGCTCCCCTGGGTGCTGTTGCTGTGAAGGTGATGGTGACACCGACACTGATGCCAAAGCCAAAAATTATGCAAGTTCACACCAAGTCTTACCGTTGGCTGCAATCTTGCTGCTCGCCTTAGCCTATATATACTGCTTCTAGTTCAGCATGGCAGAAACTTACTCTCACATTGTCGCTGAGGTAGAGTTACAGCGCTCGGTGGCCTTTGATTTTGTAGACGAGAGAGAACGGATTTCACCTGGGATTGGGATTTGGGAAGGAAGAGTCGGCGTCAGAGGAGAGGATCACAAGTTCACGAGTGAAGACAGTTAAAGCAAGCATGCAAGAAGGGTACGTGTACGTGTACTCGCGGAGGGCGCTGCTGCTGGCTCCGCTGCACAGCTACGGGGAGAATGCGGCGGCGAGCCTGGTGGTGGCCGGGCAGCAGGAAGCCCCGGCGAGCGACGGTGTCAGGAGCGGAGCTGGGAGCAGCAGCACCAGCAGCAGCTTCGACGCGAACGTGGTCATGATCCTGGCCGTGCTCCTGTGCGCGCTCATCTGCGCTCTCGGGCTCAACTCCATCGTGCGGTGCGCGCTCCGGTGCTCCAGCTGGACGTCGCCCCGCGGGGCGCAGCGGCAGCCTGCCGCGGGGGCGGGGGAGCCGGGGCTGTCGTCGGTGGCGCGGCTCGCGCAGGCCGGGGCGCGGCGGAAGGCGCTGCGCGCGATGCCGACGCTGGTCTACTCGGCGGGGCTGCTGCCGCTGCAGGCAGCCGGCGGCGGCGGGCCCGTGTGCGCCATCTGCCTGGCCGAGCTGGAGCCCGGGGAGCGCGTGCGGGTGCTGCCCAAGTGCAACCACGGCTTCCACGTCCGCTGCGTCGACCGCTGGCTGCTGGCGCGGTCCACGTGCCCGACGTGCCGGCAGCCGCTGTTCGGCGCGCCGCACAAGGGCTCCGGCTGCGCCGACGATGCCGGCGCCGGCGCCGAGCCGCCGGTGCGGCCGTTCCTCGTGCCGCTCCGGCCGGGAGGTTTCATCACGCCGTACGATTTTTAGACTAAGGTAGTCGTGTAACCTTGAATTGTAGAGAGTATACAAGCAATATACGCATGGGCACCTCACTGCATTCTAAGTCGTGCAGTCAGGCCCCGTTTGGCCGGGCCCCCGCGGGCTCCCTGTAGCACCATGTCGGCCGACAGTGAAATACGTATGGATGAACAGTTATTTCGGCGCAGGAGCCGGAGCCACCCAAACGGGGCCTTAAGGCCCATTTGACACCGTTCGGCTTTATCATTGAAGTTGTTTCTTTTTTTCAGTTTTATTTACGAGTAGCTTTCTCGGTGAAGTTAAAAATTCTTTTGAAGACCCGTTTGGCAAAACAATTCTGCATGTATATTAAACATGCTCTCACAGAATCCTACATAGAGCTCACAAGTGTGAGGTGAAGTTGTGAAAATCTACTATTTTTAGCTTCATTTCACTCTATTATCATGTAAGAGTAGAGAAGCTGTTTTCAAAAAAATCAATTTGGCAAAAAAAAGCGCATAACAGCTCATGAAACTGTTGGTGTGCCAAACGAGACCTTAATTGTACAAAGCAGCTCACTAGATCTCGAGAGAGCTCTAGGTGATGGAAATAGAGAGAGAGGATGGAATGAGAGAGGGAGAGCCTTTATGAACCTCTTATGATGTCCTCCTCCCTCAAATCCAAGTCCTTCAACTCAAATCAAAAGCCCTTCAACTCAAATCAAAAGTTTCCTCAAATTTTAGGGTAAAGCCTCCCCCATGAGTTTGAGAGAGGAAGACCCGTGGAGAAGATGAAGGGGTGGTGCTGTGTATTTGTACAGGCTTTACCGCAGCGGGCAAGATAAAGCGCCCGCCTCGGTAAATCAACTCTTTACAGCGGCGGGCAGTTTAAAGAGCCCGCCACGGTACCGCGGCGGGCAAGATAAAGCGCCCGCCTCGGTAAATCAACTCTTTACCGCGGCGGGCAGTTTAAAGAGCCCGCCACGGTAAATCGTATTAACCGCGGCGGGCGATTCATACCGCCCGCCGCGGTAAATAACGATTTCCTACGGCGGGCAAGTAAGGTGGCCCGTCGCGGTAAACCCTTTTCCTGCAGCGGGCGCCTCGCTGGTCGGCCACCGGTTAACCGTGGTGGCGGGCAAAAGAGGTGCCCGCCACGGAGCCCATTTTGGCCACGCTGCGCAAATTGATTCCTGTAGTAGTGGCTCTTTTGTGTTAATCAACCTAGCAGTTTGAGATGTAGAGTATACTTAAATTACGGAAGCAGTTCACAATCCCTGTAGATAAGTCGACTGAAATGCTAATTGACGTGCTCCAGCGATGGATTAGAGTATTTCTTTGAAGCATCATTTGGGTGAAAAATAGCTTTCTATATCTTTATATTTTTCAACAACTTTTCTATGTCTTGTGCACATTCTAGACAATCATTATCGTTTTTCATCTTTGGCTAGCGAAAAATCCAAAATAGAAGATGTCTATATTTAGAGATCCATTTAAAGCGGCCGCTGGAGGCTATTTTCACCAAAATCTCTACTCCTCTAAATTAGGAAGGATATAAATAGTTTCTTAGAGTTACTCTTAGTAGAGTTCTAGTTAGAGAAAAACCTTAGGTGACAGGGCTGCCCAACGCCAACGATGGTGGTGAGCATTGAGGTGCTGCAGTGGTAGTGGTAGCGGTGGTAGTAAGTATCTTTATCTTGCGGGTACCACATAGCAACAAATAAAGTTCTACATAAGAAGAGAGAAATTTACGTTCTCCATTGGGCAAAGGTGGCAGGTGTCAGGCACATGACTAAAGAAAGGCTTGAAGAGAGCTCCTCTTGCTAAAAGAGGTCCTAACGAAGTGATAAGGCATTCAACGTTAAATATCACATGGTACTTGAACTGCAAGTGAAGGTTGTGTTGTCATTCTAGATGGGGCATGAAACATGTCCTCTAGTTAGTAACATCATTATTGTGGCATAATACGTAGCTCATGACCAAGAAGAAGCCGACATTGAAAAGAAAATAAAAAATAGAGATTTTTTTTTGTATCTTCTTGTTTTTCTTGTGTTTTCTGGCTCCTACAGTTGCTCTTAAGATGAAGAAGAAGCATTGTTTATTGACCTCATTTTGAAGTAAATAATCGTGCAAGAGACAAGCTTTGTATATACTGAATAATCCTTGTCATTAATATAATGGTTGGATCATATTGAAATAAATGCATCCATGAATTTTTCCAAGGTATGTTTATTTAATTTTAGCGACGTCTCTATGATCTTTACGATGCATGCTATACATTTGGGAGGAGCGAAGCAAGCCCACACGACGATTGTGGAGCTGTGAAACCCATCAAGTTTGACGCTAGACACCATCTTTGTTAATGGTCGCATCAACCTTGATGAAAATTCTCATAAAACCAGCAATTGCCTCAGGATGGGGATCATATGTGGTATGAATTTTTCGCCATAACTCTATTACTATGACCTATAAAAATTTAAGCTGTATGAATTTTTGTCGTATCCCTACTAAAGTATGGTATAGATTTTAACTGTGTCCTCGTCACTAGGATCCTATCAACATTTGTTAAGATCTTATTTGGATGTAGTCGGATTCTCATCAATTCACATGTGTTGGGGAGGATTGGAGTGGACTTGAATTAAATTACACCCCAACACATGTGGATGGAGGTGAATCCGACAACATCCAAATAAGGCCTAAGGTGGTATGAATTTTCACCATAACTCGGTCGTTACGATCCTATAAATTAAATGTTGTGAAAGTTGTGGTATGATCATGCACTATAGTTTTTATATTTTAGCATGGTACATATATAGGAAGAATAAATTAATTATGCCCATAGATCAACAACTGTTAGTCTGCTACAAGACATCAAATAAATGACATCTAAAGGTAACTCCTAATGACAAAGCATGGTAGTAGCCAGAATAAAGAATTAATTAATTCTGCCCATATACTATGATATATATCCTGTTATTAGTCTGTTACAAGGCATCAAATAAATGACATCTAAAGATAACTCCTAAAGATAAAGCATGGAACTACTGGCCAGAATAAATTTTCTGCCACGCACATTAATTTGTACCTCTGTATGACTGTATATAAGCATGGCCAAAGAGGCAGGCATCACACATCAAAGACGACCAGCATATATATCTCCCCCTACAATTCTAAGGTTAACCCTGATGGGGTAGATGGGACACGTCACCCCAAAATGGCAGAGCCATAGGATTCTTACTGTGCATGCACCAAAATATCTACTGCTCTCATCTCTCTCTCTCTCTCTCTCTCTCCGTCTCGACTCTTCCAGTGTTCCCTTCCCCTCCCTCTCTCTTGCCCTCGCTCATTGTCCCGATGGCCGCGGCTCCTCGCCCGCCCACGTGGCGTGGCAGCGCCCCTCCCTCTCCCCCCCACGGCGCGCCGGCCGCGGCACCTGCCCCCACTCTGTTTGTCCGGCCTCGAGAAGGCGCTTCGCGGAGACACACAGCGGCGCGGCGCGAGCGGACCGTCCCGCTGGCCGTCCTCCGGTGAGGCGGCGCACCCGCGGCCAGGCCTCGCTGCTGGGCGCAGCCACTACGCCTCCACCCCCTACTCCGCGTGTGCATCTCTCTCGCCCCCCTGTCTCCTCTCCCGATGTGGCCGCCCATGATGGGTGCCCTCGGTGCGACTGGGCCCCGGCGGTGCCGCCGTTGGCACACAGAGCATCAGTCTCAGGTGATGTTCATTGATTATGGTCCTACTTATCTATGTAGTTCTCTTTTTATGTAGTTATATACTTATATAGTGATGATGGCTTGTTGTTCTGTAGAGGTTCCGTTGTACCATTCGTTCCAAAGCTGAATTCCAGATTCATTAGTACTAGTGTTCTATCAAGATGGCTGAAGTAGGTTCCCCATGGCATTGATGCTGAGTGGCCTGACATGGTTACTGATACTCAGCTCTTGTTGCAATCGGTTGATGTTGCGTCATTGATTTCTACTCTGAATTGTTGTGTTTATTTCACAAATTAGTTTGTGTTCATGTGTGCATTCCCCATATTCATGGTTCCAAATTGATTGGAGGCCTGGCTTTGCACTGTAGTATGTTTACGTGGCTCATGTGTGTGCAAAGCATGATGTTTTAGATGCCTACTATATCTTTAGTGACCTTGGCTGCATAGATGCGAAGTGCATTAATTATGTGCAGTTGATTTGTCGAATCCATCAATGTGACAAGCATTACTACTAAGTTGATTGGGCGATAAGCGCTGCTGTTTAACAGAAAAACATTTGTTATGATGGAAAAAGAAAATAGCTGTAGGTACGGTATAGTATTTATCCAGTATGCTGAGGCTGTCTCGGCGTTCTCCCTCCGCCTCGACTCGAGAGCTACGCCAGCCAGCCACCCGCCCAAGGAGCTCTGTCCACTCCGCGGCGCCAATTGGTACTTCCTCGTGTCCGCCGGGAAGCTTCTGCTGCTCTTGCATGGAGAGACATACTGATTGATTATACATGATGACAACCGATCAACTCAACACTTCTAAACCAACTTGTTCCAGTTGTGGACATGTACAATCACTGTGTCATTTGCTGCTGTAGCTGTTTCATTTGCCCACATTATTAAAGCTCTGGAGCCATTCTTCAATGCGTCTGCTTCTCAGTTTCTCCTTGGATAACCAGTTCCATTGACACTCTAGCTGTCTCTTGTTCCTGTCGTGGTTGGTGCTGAGGAGTTAAGCCTCCTTTGGCACGGCTCATCCAAAACGGTTTTACCGGTGAAGCTAAAGCCGGTGAAGCCAGAAAAATTGGCTTTTTCTGACTTCTAGTTTATTTTAACTCCGGCTTACAAAACGGCTTCACGCTACAGTGTCTCGATTTGCGCAAAATAGATGAGGCCGAAGCCGGCATAAGCCGTGCCAAAGAGGCCCTTAGGGGGTGTTTGGTTCTTTAGTCGCTCCTAAAATTCATGTCACATCGAATATTCGGATGCTAACTAGGAAGACTAAATATGAGCTAATTATAAAACTAATTACATAGATGGAGGCTAATTCACGAGACGAATCTATTAAGCCTAATTAATCCATCATTAGCACATGTTTACTGTAGCACCACGTTGTCAAATCATGGGCTAATTAGGCTTAAAAGATTCGTCTCGTAAATTAGTCGCAAGTTGTGCAATTAGTTTCGTAATTAGTCTATATTTAATACTTCATGCATATGTCTAAACATTCGATGTGACAGAAATTTTAGTAGCTCCTAAAAATTCAAACAGGCCCTTAGTGTACCCATATGTTCATGCACAAGGACAATAGAAGGATACAGGAGCACAACTTCTGACAACATCACAAGTCCTCTGTTCAGGAATCAGAACTACTGCAGTGGTTACTAACGTCATGTTTGCTAGCAACGGTATTGAGTTGAAAGCAGAGTCAAACATAGCCACAACCGCCTCCGCCCGCGCGGCTCCTCGCCGTCACCGCCCGCGCGCCTCCTCGCCGCCGCAGCGTGCGGCTGCAGTTGCTGCCTCCCCCCGCTACCCACTGGTCGCCTCCTCGTACGTGGGCACGCCGCCGCCGTCCGCGCGCCTCCTCGACGCCACGCGCGCGGGGCTCCGATTGCTGCCTCCCGCTGACGACGCCACCCGCCAGTCGCCTCCTCGGGCCTCGTCACGCCGCCGCCGCCCTGCACCACCCTGTTGTTACTGCCTGCCGCCACACACTTCCCCGATCTACTGCTCACCACCGTTGTTCGCAAGAGAGACATGGGCAGCAATAGCTATGGGGATGGATTTGTCTCCTGGCGCTTTGATTGAGCTAGAGCAGGACCCAGCGCTGGCGGAACTCGTGCGGGACTGGGACTTCTCTCCCGGTAAGAAGTTTCAAGCTGAGGTGTTGCGCAAGTTCTCTTCCTCGGTTCATCACACTTCTTCCTCGCCGGATGGTTCGTTCTTCTTGCTCGTGGTTTTTCAGAGATTTCTCTTTCGGCTCACTGAGGATTCTGTTGCCATGGCTCTCCACTGCTACCTTGGAGGAACTCCCGCTGGTTTTCATGTTTCTTTTCAAAAGGAGCGGCATTTTCGCTTCTCTGTTGCATCCAAGAACGTGGGGCTGCTTGTTCGTGCTCTTAAAAGCATCACACGACTGATCATTTTGATATATATTTTCATTTGTGGCGTGATGGAGGTGCTGATTGGAAGCGGGAATGGAAAAAATGGGGAAAAGAGGAAGAAGCTAGCTGGACCACAAAGATCAGCAAAAAAAAGTAAACACAGGACTTCAGGTAAAAGGGTCTCTTTCAGCAAAAAAACTAATTTTAGACTCTCCTGTGTCTAAATCTCGCCCCAAAGAGCTCTTTTCATCTGTGATTACAGTTGGAAGTCTTCTTTGTCCTGTTTCATCTCCCTCTCGTATGCATATTGGAGCCTCCCCTTTTGCTTTGGATTCTGAGAAGCATGCTGGACTCAGTTCAAACCAAGTTCAATGCAGGGATTTTGAAACTGATAAAGATGGTCGTGAGGAGCATTCGGCTACTGAAAATTTTCCTGTTGATCCAATAACTTTAGTTGTGCAAGCCAGTCCTGATGTTCTTGCTTCTCACAGACTCAATGGTGCTCATCGTGCTGTATCTTCCTCAGTGGTTCCAGTTCAAACGGTTTTCAAAAGGCTCAAGAGAGATCTTGATATTAATTGCAATGATATTCTGGCTGCCAATTCTCTTCAGCTGAAGCAATATAATGAAGTATAGCTCTCCCAAGGTGAACGTTATAACTTCACTCCCAACCCTTCAACCAGATTATGCTTTCGCTGTTTAAGCCTGAATCATTTAATACAGGAGTGCCGAAGTGGTATCAGGTGCATTTACTGTTTCATTTATGGTCATCGGGCTTGAAATTGCTTTAGAAGAAGAGCCCACCTTAAGCTCAAGTGGGCTGCTAAGCCCAGCTTGCAACCATCGAGCACTGTGTGCAGTAATGATGGAAACGTTCAACCTCTTCCTATTCATTGGTCTCTAGGACCTAAGGTTGTTAATGCCCCAAGTGCCCCTCTGCCTTCTTGCTGCTTGTGGAAGGTCACTCTTCACATCCCTACTCCGGGGAAGACAAACACAGAGCAACCTGAGCAACCAGAGCATCCTCAGTCTCCACCTCCTCCCACCTCCGCAAACAGCGCTCAAGCCATGGCGAACTTTGCCATTGATCCAAGGCGTTTCTTCCCAAGCGCGATGATCCTTGAAGATGGTGGACAGCACAGGCGTGCCAGGCGCACCGTCTGTGTCTCTGGAGGGATTGTCAAGAGACATGAAGATTATGCCATCGCGATCACTAAAGCCCAGCTCACTCCGGCGCAACAGCTCCAGCTCATGCATCTCACCAGGGACTACATAGAAATTGAGGTACGGAAGAATGTCCTCTACTTCGCGCCGCATCCGCATGGTGTGGGAATCTATCAGCTACGCGATCCTTGCCAGCGTGATACACTTGTTACAAGTCCGCATTGGATAGGTGGTCATGAAGTTTGCTTCGTTAAGCATGATGAGACCCCAATGAATGTGCGCAACTCTCCATACACAAGAAAGAGTTGGTTATTGTTGCTGGGCTATCCACTAGATTTTAAGGATCCTTTGATCCTGAAGCAAGTTTGCAGTGTCTTTGGGCAGCTCCTGTTCTGGAATTCCAGTGACCATTCTCGAGCGCGTGTTCTGGTCAAAGTGATGATTGATAACCCTCTGGAGGTCCCTCGTAGTCTAGTGATCAAGCATGGTAAAGAGCTTAATGGCGCGGGTCAGTCTTGGACTGTTCGTGTGTACATCTTTAATTCAGAGTTCACAAATGCTCAGCCCACTGATGAGGAAGAACCACCTGCTCACAATGGCAACCCTCATCCTTTCGAGGAGCCAGTATTTCCTAGGGAAATCAACAACATAGTTGAGATGGCAGATCAGGTTATGGACCAGTTGATTGAAGCACATCAAAATCAAGGGCCCATAGAGGAAGATCAGAATTCTGCTATCATTAGTGAGGCTACCTCATCCTTCTCTGCCCCCATTTTGCAGCCTGCGCAGGGGGCAAACAAAGAAGTCACCATTGAAGCCTAGGGAAGGGTCCTAAACTCTCAGGGGACTGACCAAGATGAAACTAATCAAGAGCAGCTGCAAGCCAAACAATAGCAGGTCACTGTTCCTCCAGAGACAGAAAGACACTGAGCAGAAGGTAGCTATCTCAAAATTTCTAGCAGATGGGCTCAAGCAACTGATTGCCACTCAAAGCAAGGCTGGTTGTTCCAAGATAATGGGTAGTCTCATCATTCCAAACTCCCTAATTCACATTGATTTGGCTGCTCTTGGGATTACATCTCTTAGTATTGTTGTTAATATCCCAGATCAGTGTGATGCTCCTTCGCTCAGCCCTCCCATAAGTAATCTACTTATGCAACAAAACCCTGATGATACTCAGTTTCACCCACAGCAAATGTTACTAGACCTTGGTGGTGCTCAGATCCACCCAAACATGCCAGCTCCTTATGCTTATTCCCTGGGCAAAGGTAATCCAATCACTAGGGTATATTACAGAAGAAGGTTCAAGAACAAGGATTTTGCTACTGTGTCTTAGTCAAACAGCTCTGATAAAAGCAAGAGAAGCATATCTACAACAAAGAGAAAATGTATTACTCCCACCACCACTATGAAGCTTAGAAGGAGTCCAAGACTCATAAAGAAGCTAGACGGACACAAACCTGCTAGTATCTCCCTAAAGAAGGCTCCCACCAGAAACAAGAACAACAAGAAGAACAAAAAGATCAAGCCTCAGTCTAATCTGTTGGGTAACATTCTGCTCTCACCTACTTGCCAAGCCTTTGATTTCCCTAACATTTCAATCATTGCTAAATTTACTAATATGGGCACTATCTTCCCTCAAATACCCATTGCGGAGATACAAAAGTTGGCCATTGAGTCCTGCGGCATCACTCCTTTGGAGGTGTCAGCTGAACTGCTCCTTGCTTCTAGGCCTCAAGAGGATGGAGGAGCAGATTTGTAGCTTGAAGAAGTGCACCAAGAATTGTCAGCCTTTTAGTTTCTCTTTTGTCAGGGAATGCCCTGTCTTTGAATATTGTACTGAATTCTATCTGAACCTGTTAAGTTGGTCACAAACTGGTTGGACATGTTGCTTCAGTACCATTTGTGATTCCTGCACCTTCATGTTGGCAGTATTGGCTTGGTTTCTTTTTATTATGCTTGCTGATTTCTGGGATTGGTCCCCTGGTTCACTTCCCTCTGATGTGCTTGTGGCTCACAACATTCAGAAAATCTTAGGTGCTCAGTTTTAGTCTTTTTGCTGCTCTCTTTCTCCTTTTTTCCTTTGGGATAAGAGATGACTGCTGCACCTACACTTGTTTTTATGGATAACATAATAAATGATAATAGTCCAAACAATAGTTTCAATAGGAGCTGGAACATACTCAATTGGAACATCAGAGGAATTAACTCTGAAGACAAGTGTAATGCTGTAAAAGAAAAAATTGATGAAAGCACTTGTGCAACTTACTGTATTCAAGAGACTAAGAGAGACCATTTTGACCATACTTTTATCAAAAAGCTGGCCCCAAAGCGTTTTAACAAGTTTGCTTTCTCTCCCTCTGTTGGAAATTCTGGAGGCATTGTTATGGGATGGAATAGCTCCCTCTTTAATGGAGATATCATTGAGAGTAACAAATTCTCCATCACAGTCAAGTTCTCTTCCTTACATAATGGTCATCATTGGTTTCTTACCACTGTTTATGGACCCTGTCAAGGCCCTGATAGGGATGATTTTGTTCTCTGGCTTAATAACCTTCAAATTGATGATACTATCAATTGGATGATAATGGGTGACTTCAATTTCTACAGATCCCTGGGTGACAGAAACAAAAGCGGAGGCAATATGAATGACATTATGATATTCAATGAAATTATAAGCAACCTGGGGCTCCTAGAAATTCCCCTCAGAGGGAGAAAATACACTTAGAGCAATATGCAAGATGATCCCCTCCTTGAGCAAATTGATTGGGTCTTCACTTTAGCTAATTGGATCTCTGTCTACTTGGATACTCTTCTTCTACCACTAGCAAGACCAACTTGAAACCATATCCCTTGTAAAATTCAAATTGGCACCAATATTCCCAAGGCGCAAGTATTCAGATTTGAAAATTATTGGGCTGATCATCCTGAGTTCATGGAGCTGGTTAAGTCTGTATGGTCTGCTAATGTCAGAGCCTCAAACAGCGCCACAAGAATCAGCTCTAAATTCAAACTCCTAAGAGCTACACTTAAAAAATGGAGTAAGAAACTATCCAACCTCTCCATGTTAATTAAAATTTGCAGCTACAAGCTTGAGGTTCTTGACTCCCTAGAATTCAAGAATACAACTTCAGAAATATTCTTAAGGCTCACATCCTAAGATTACATGGCTATAAAAAAGAATATTGGAATAAAATGTTTACTATAAGATGGACCAAGATGGGTGATGAAGGAACAAAAAAATTTCATGCTGCAGCCACTGAAAGGTATCGGATTAACACCATCACCAACCTGATTGTGGAGGATGGTAGGACTATTACTGAACATAGTGAAAAAGCAGCTTTGCTACTAGAGGATTTCAAAAAAAGGATGGGATGCTCTTCTAACCCTATAATGCTTTTTAACCTAGAAGAACTGGTGCAGCCAAGAAATGACTTAGTCTTTCTCTAGGTCCTTTTCCACCCTTGACATTGATGAGGTAATCAAACACATGCCTCCTGACAAAGCCCCGAGCCCCGATGGTTTCAATGGACTCTTTATGAAAAAATGCTGGAACATTATAAAAGAAGACATATAGACTTTGTGCTTTGATTTCTTCAATGGCAATCTGAGTCTAGAAGCCATCAACAATTCATTCATCACACTGATTCCTAAAGTGCACAATCCTACAAGTGTTAATGATTTCAGGCCCATTTCTCTTCTAAGTGGGGTCATCAAAATCATCACAAAGCTCTTGGCTAATAGGCTGTAAGAAAAAATAATACCGCTGATTCATACCAATCAATATGGTTTTATAAAAAGCAGAACAATACAAGATTGTTTGGCCTAGGCTTATGAATACATATATCAGTGTCAACACTCCAAAAAAGAGCTCATTATCCTAAAATTGGACTTTACAAAAGCTTTTGATACAATTGAACATAACACAATCTTGATGATGATGAGCTTGGGGTTTCCTGAAATTTGGATTAACTGGATTGAGAGGATTCTGATCTCTGGTTCTTCCTCGATTCTTCTGAATGGTGTGCCAAGTAATCATTTCCATTGTCGCCGAGGGGTCCTTCAAGGTGACCCCTTGTCACCACTTCTTTTTGTGCTTGCTGCATACCTTCTACAATGCATTGTCAACCAAGCCTATCAGCAAAGTCTGTTTGAGCTGCCTATTCCTTCTTTTGAGCTAGATCAGTTCCCCATTGTTCAATATGCTGACGACACTATTCTAGTCATGAAAGCTTCTCAAAGAGAGTTATTCATCCTGAAAGGCCTTCTGGAATCCTTCTCGCAATCGATAGGGCTAAGAGTCAACTATAGGAAGTCTTGCCTTATTCCCTTAAATCTCTCTCCTGAAAAAGCTCAACTCCTTGCTGGTGTCTTCGGCTGCAATTTGGAATCTCTTCCTTTTACCTACCTTGGACTGCCATTGGTCACAACAAAACCTCAGGTTGAACATTACGGTCCCATTATGACTAAAGTTGAAAGAAGGCTCACGGCAACTTCTACCTTCCTGACCCATGCAGGAAGGCTTCAGCTAGTCAATTCAGTAATCTCTTCGCTGCCCACCTATGCCATGTGTACCTTGGAGGTGCCGGTGGCAGTCATTGAGTATATTGATAGAGCAAGACGTCACTGCCTTTGGAGAGGTTCAGACTCCAATGCAAAGATGAAACCACTAGTGGCCTGGAGTAAATGTTCAAAGCCAAAAAGAAAAGGAGGATTGGGAATTATCAATCTTAGGAGTCAAAACAAGACCCTTCTTTGGAAGCATCTGGACAAATTTTATAATGGGAAGGATATCCCATGGGTGAAGCTGATCTGGAATGCGCATTATTCCTAGGGTCAGGTGCCACATGCTTCGACAGATAAGGGCTCCTTTTGGTGGAAGGATGTCCTAAAATTATGTGACATGTTCAGAGAAATTGCGAAGTGCACTTTTGGAGATGGTTCCACGGTGCTTTTCTGGTCTGGCCTTTGGAATGACAACATCCTGGAATCCAAATTCCCAAGGCACTATTCCTTTGCTAGGAATAAGAACATCTCAGTGGCTAGGTTTTTGTCTAATAACACTCTAGAGGCCCAATTTCACTTGCCCTTATCAGAGCAGGCCATCCAAGAATTCCAAAGTCTCCAAGAATTAATTCAAGATATGTAGGTCGATCAGAATTCAAAGGATTCCTGAGAATACATTTGGGGAAGCAAGAACTACTCCTCATCAAAGTGCTACAACTTTCCTTACAAGAATATACAACCCCCATCCCCTTTTCTCTGGATTTGGAACTCCAGATGCTGCAACAAACTTAGAGTTTTTTCATGGCTCCTCTTGATGGATAGACTAAACACAAGGAACATTCTGAGAAGGAAAAAGCACAAGCTTTAGGGAAACAACTACAATTGTGTTCTATGCAGCAACAACGTTGAAGAAACTATTTTTCATTTGTTCTTCAGCTGCCCCTTTAGCCAAGCCTGCTGGCAACACCTTGGTATAAATTGGGACTTCACAATGGATTTCTTTCGGATGATGTAGCAAGCCAAGGTCCAACATAACAATCCCTTTTTATAGAGACCTTCATCATTGCCGCCTGGCAGATTTGGAAGCAGAGAAACAACTTTATATTTGACAGAGGCCAGCCGTACTTTGATTCTTGGAAAAGCTCTTTCTATGAAGAAGTTAGACTACAGGCCCATAGATTTAGTTCTGCTAAGAGCTATGCCTTCCTTTCTTGTACATCTGCTCTAGTTTAGCTCTGCTGCCCACCTCGGGCTTGCTTCCCTTTTTGTTTCCTCTTGTTTAGAGTTGTTGTTGTTCTTTTCGTTTTATAAAAAGTTGGGGGCCTCCCCTGCTGTATTTTCCGCTCAAAAAAAGTATGCTGAGGCTGAGGTTACTAGGCTCCCTAATGCAGGCATATGTCCATGACAACCATTCCTTCACCTGAGGCTAATTACTCTGTTCATTGCAGTTCACTGGCCTACCAATTCATCTAATCAGATTGAAAGGTGTGTTGGTGAGTTCCTTTGCTCTATCATCATCCCTGCCATTTTAGATGTGTCGCACGGTGCCTTGTGGTGTGTCTCTACCATGCGTGTTGATCTTATACCTGCTGCTGCTTATAGGTGTTGACCTTGATCAGGAGAGGTAGAAGTTCCATCCTAAAATAAACTCGAATTCATAGAATTATATTCGGTCACTTTCAATGACTAATAATAGGTATATATATTGTCCATAAGGAATTAGGGATCCACCGTGCTATCCAAAAGGTAATGATACTTTGTTCAGTTCAGGATGTTTTGTTTCTTATTAGTGCTCCAATATGCAGTCATGATTTAATATGGCTTTCTCCATTTAAAAATGATGGTCTTAAAATATGTACGAGTTTACTATATTCATGCATGTACTCAATCACATGATCTACTACTTGTCAATGTACAAGTCCGTATAGTTTCATTTGCAACAGAAACTTCTTTAGAAATGTGATGGAGTTCAAATCAGATATGTGTTCAACTTCCAATATAATTGAACTACATACTGTTTTTTGTCAGCTCTGTTGAACCAGCATCAGATTCGTTGTTCTATGCACATATGGAGCACAACTAAGCCGATTATGTAGTACTATCTTGGTAAGCTCCTTCCTGCATTCCTAATCTGTTCTTCGGTTCATAACTTTACTTTGATGTTTTAGCTCAGCTATCAAATTTGAGCGCATTCATCGATGTCCAGGTGAATGCTAGGGGACTATTTGGAGCATAACATTACCATATTTTGGCTTC